TTCTCAGATGCTATATACTGGCCTGTTTTCATTATTGCAACTTTGGCTGCTATCGTCGCTAGCCAGGCCACTATATCCGCCACTTTTTCAATAATCAAGCAAGCCCTTGCTCTCGGCTGTTTCCCGAGGGTCAAAGTTGTGCACACGTCCAAGAAATTTCTCGGGCAGATTTATATTCCCGACATAAACTGGATCCTCATGATCCTTTGCATTGCTGTAACTGCTGGGTTTAGAAACCAAAGCCAAATCGGCAATGCATACGGTATCTCTCCCTCTCTCTCTCTTTGTCTCTCTCTCAAAAGTTCAAATTTTTACGATCTTGATGTCTGACTGCAGGTACAGCTGTTGTGATCGTGATGCTCGTGACGACCCTTCTAATGACTCTGATAATGCTACTCGTGTGGCACTGCCACTGGCTCCTCGTCCTTCTCTTCACCTTCTTCTCCCTTTTGGTCGAGTGCACTTACTTCTCGGCCGTGCTTTTTAAAGTTGACCAAGGCGGGTGGGTCCCGCTCGTGATTGCAGCCGCTTTCCTAATCATCATGTACGTGTGGCACTACGGCACGGTCAAGCGGTACGAGCTTGAGATGCACAGCAAGGTCTCCATGGCCTGGATTCTCGGGCTGGGCCCCAGCTTGGGCCTCGTCCGAGTCCCCGGAATCGGGCTCGTCTACACCGAGCTCGCGAGTGGGGTCCCACACATATTCTCCCACTTCATCACCAATCTGCCCGCTATCCACTCAGTTGTAGTCTTCGTCTGCGTTAAGTATCTCCCGGTGTACACAGTCCCCGAGGAGGAGCGTTACCTTGTTAAACGAATAGGCCCGAAAAACTTCCACATGTTCCGTTGCGTGGCCCGATACGGGTACAAGGACCTTCACAAGAAGGACGATGATTTCGAAAAGAAACTGTTCGACAATCTTTTCACGTTCGTACGACTCGAGTCCATGATGGAAGGGTGCTCGGATTCGGACGAGTATAGTATATACGGAAGCCATCAGACACACCAGTCGAGAGATTTCTTGTTGAATGAGAGGAATAATAATGGGCCCACGTCAAATTACGACGATGACCTCACGATCACGTCAGTCGACTCGATTGTGCCGGCGGGTGGGAACACCAACACGATGATGTCATCATCTGCTCATACTGAGGTGGACGAGCTCGATTTCTTGAGCGAGTGTAGGAATGCTGGGTTGGTCCACATCATGGGGAATACGGTGGTGCGGGCCCGGAGGGACTCGGGGGTTTGTAAGAAGGTTGCGGTCGATTATGTGTACGCGTTTCTTCGGAAGATTTGCAGGGAGAATAGTGCTATATTCAATGTGCCTCATGAGAGCCTCTTGAATGTTGGGCAGATTTTCTTTGTATGATATGTTGTTTTTGGTGGTAATAAAGGACAATTTTTTTTCTTTTTTTTTTTTTGNAGCCTGTATGTTGTTGTATTATATATGGGAAGTTTTTGAGAAGAATGTGTGTCAGTAAGTGTGTGTTCTGTGCATCCTTCTTTTCAAGTGTATGGAAAAAAAATGTTGGAAACTTGTGCATACACACATAGCAAATGCTGTTCTTAATTTATTACAAACAATAATAATTCTCAAGAAAAATACATGTATGCATTATCCCAAAACAGGTATTCCTCTGTGGCACTCATAATGTACAAAATATATATTGTAGACAGGACAATAATTATAAAAAACCAATATGTGTGTGGATATATATATATATTATGATGAGATGTTGAACAAATCACTTATTAGGTAAGTGATGATTGTGTGGTTTTGCAGAGGACATTGTACGTAAACGGCGAGCAATCTGGGTGAAGGAAGGGCGAAGAAACGGATCGGGGGCCCAGCACTGCTCCATCAGTAGTCTCCAGTCGGGATCACAAAAGCTCGGCACTGGCGGCCGCAATGTGTTGTTCACTATACCACCTGTTTTCAAATAACATTACTACATACTTTCTGTTTTATAGTCTGAAGCAAAAGTGAAGTGAACCAACCAATGATTGCTCCGTAATGCATATTGGCGTAAGGTTCCTCGCCCGTCAGAATTTCCCACAGGACAATCCCGAAGGAGAAGACATCAACCTGTTGGAACCAAAATACGCGTTTTATATATTTTTTACATTTTACCATTTTTTTTTTCAAGAAAAAATTGCAGGGTGTAACGTGTACCTTTTCCGAAACCTTGCTACTGCTACCGTTTAACAACTCGGGAGCCATCCATGGAAGGGTCCCGCGGACCCCACCTGTAACCAATGTGTTTCTCTTGATCTTTGACAAGCCGAAATCGCCCACCTGGACATTATTTCCAAGGTATTATTAGTCTGTGGGTGAGAAACTGAAAGCATCATTACAATCTATTTTTTTATACCTTGCATATGGGTCGGGAAGAATCCTTCAAGTTAACGAGCAGGTTATCGCATTTCAAATCAAAGTGCACAATGTTCCTCGAATGCAGATATTCCATCCCGAAAGCTGCATCCATTGCTATAATGAGCCGCTTGCGTCGATCAAGATGCCTGAACAAATCGCACGTGAAGAAAAAAAAAAAAAGAAGATAATTTGGAGTCAATTCTACATCTAATTCAACTACTGTACCTATCTTTGGAAATCAAAACATGTCTAAGGGACCCATTGACCATAAACTCTGTGACAGTCGCAAGTGTCCCGCCTGGCCCATCTTGCACTACACCATAAAAAGCCACCACATTTGGATGGTGAAGCTTTGATAGAATCTCGGCTTCATGCCAGAACTCAGCTGTCTGCAACATATATTTCACATGAGACAGAGAGTGTAGAGTATCCTTCTTACTGCTATTGTCAACAAATGAAAATAAATCATATGATTTTGAGTTGAAGACACTTACAAGTCTCTCCTGCTCGGACGAGCGGCCGAGAAAACAGCTCTTCTTGATTCTTTTGATAGCAACATCACTTCCCCTCCATTTACCATGATAAACTGTGCCATATGTTCCAGCACCTAGTTCTCTCAATTCTTCGAGATCACTGTTTTTTATAATCTGGACAACAGAACAAAGGAACAGATGACGAGACTTTTATATTGTTTTTATAATCCTTTCATCAACTCAAATCCTTTCACTAATTGTACAAACTCCATTTTCCTTTCCGTTCTACAAATGCAAGTTATTAAACCATACCTGCAGAGAGCTGGGATCAAAATGTCCAAGGGTGTAGTCAAGAAGCGGGAAGCCTGCTTGCTGAATTGCTCCGTTTTCATCCTGAAGCTGGGGAAAATAGAATAAATAATACGAAAAAAAAAAAAAAAAAGAATTCAAAAAAATTACTAACAAAAAATAGTACCTGATGATTAGGCCCTGGAGCCTGAGTTTGAGCACCAGTAGTGTGAGAAACAATGTAATCCGAAGGCAAATTCATGGTGTCGGGCCTCAAAGGTTCGGATAACTGCCTTTGATCAGCTGCAGCTGAACCAGCTTCAAAAGGGGTGTGACCATAATCAATGGATTCATCATCATCTCCAATTTTCGGCTGTGAAGATGAGAAGGTAGGATGATCTTGATCCATAAGAGAAAAATCTTTCCCCGAGGTGTCTCGTGCTAGATTCTGAAAATATGACCACCGTTTAGGTTCATGATTAACCATGTTCACGCTCAAACCGGCTGCATCTCCATACAGCTGTGCAAAACCAGCAGCACTCTCTAATGTTCTAGCCTTGGAAAATATATCGGATAAAAAGTCCTGAGGAAAACGGTCATTGATATCAATAAGGATGTCCCCATGCTCTGAGACGCCAGCGCTCAAACCCGGTTTACTTTGAGAAACAGTTTCTGAAGGGCCATTTTCACCGTTTTGATTCGTTTTGTTTGGATTAGCAGGTTCATCTTGGATATTCTTTTCAGCTATCTGCTCGGCCTTGTGATTTTTTGTCTCTTTTTTGTCTCCATCAGTATCACGTGTTGATTTCTGAGATACATTTATTTTGTCTTCCTTAGCCAGGGAATCTGTTGCATTCCGTTCAGTCAAATTGTGGACTGAATCCGTGATTTGTTGCGAAAGGTCCGAGTGGGAGTGACAGATTACGAACTGTGGACCAACAGACTCATCAGATTTCGACCAACGATTAAGCCCCAGCTGCTCCCTTGGTATTCTTTCTGAATGGAAAAACGGACGAGGGAGAACATCTGCTGCATAAATGATGTTATTGTGATATGTCTCAGATTCAGCACGAGTTGGTGTATGAGAAACCTCACTGCCATGAAGCTTATTCACATTTTCATCCTGAACGCTAATTGGAGGCATGTGATCCGTCACATCTTCACAGCCCTTTCCCTCTGATTTGTTGGTAATTGATGATGAAGAGATAGTCTTCCCTTCAGAAAGAGATTGCGTTTTGGCAGAAGAATCAATCTGATGTACATCAATATCTGGAGAAATGCTTTTTTCAGATTCATTCTTTTTCTGCACCACGGTTTTATTGTCGATTTTTGCCTCCACCCCTGATACTCCAGCTGCCTTAGAACTCAAACTCTTGTTAGGCTGAGAAGCCTCCTCAGGAACCACTTTCTCAAAGGTATAATCTGGGACAAAGTTTTCATCGCCAGTTTGCTGGATAGCAGCTGACAAAAGCCGTTGGGGCTGTTCACGACTGACAGTGCTGACCTGGTAATCGAGTGATGATTTGGACTCAAAAGCACGTGGTAAGGTCGAAGAAAGTTGACCGGTCAAATTATTCCCCAGATGGCTTTCTGGCTTTCGGAAATCCACACCGTTGACTGCCACAACATACTGCACATCAGAATCACCCTCCATTCTCTCGACTGAATCGTTGTTGGAGATGAGAAAGACCCTGAGCTTTTGATGAGATCCTCGCAGCAAATTACACTCCTCAATCATATTCTGCAGGTCTTCATCACAAGACACCGAGACAAGAGCATCAAGATCCTCGCCCGGTAGCTGATACCTTATGGAATGAGGCTCATCGTACACAGCCATAGTCTTCTGCTTAAGCTCGTCCCACGAGATATTCTTTCCGATGCGCAGAATGCGCGTTTCTCCCCCGACGTATCTAAGTTTCCGATCACTCGGACGAGGCAAGATTTTGCCCCCGAAACTGCACAGAAACTTCATAGAAGAACTTTTCGGGTTTTTTAAGGAAATATTAGTCACTGGATTTTGTATGTTACCCTTTTCGACACGAGGAAAAGATGAGGCATCGGGACCAGCAAAAGATGCACCATAAGGTGTATTATCGGCCTCGACAGAGGCACAACTTGGAACATAATGCTGCTTGGGGTTCACCCTTTCCCACATGAATTCGAGAGCAAACTCCTCACCGGTTTGGATGGAATAGTTGAGAACAGGTCGTGCTCCAACTGCAATATTTTTATCACAAGGAAAGAAAGAATTGGAGGGACCTTGAGGAAATCTCGGGTTTGTAGAGCTCGAGTTCTTGTTCCTAATATCTACAGGATTATAGCTAATTTTTTCGGAGTTTTTTTGCTCGGCCATTGGAAATTTCCCCATCCTATGTTCCATTGCTGGCCTTTCTCCTTTCCTCTTTACCTTTTCTTCTCCTCTCTCTCTCTCTCTCTTTTTTTTTTTTTTTTTTTTT